ACAGTGTAAAGGATTAGATAGAGTGAAGTTTGATGTGTAGAATTTATAAAAAGGTTTAGTTAACAAAGTTGGTTTGCTTTTCAGTTTAGTTTCTGATAGTACAACTAAATGAAGATTTTTTCTTATGCAATATTCTATCTAGTTTTGGAGTTTAACTATATTATTTAGATCTCTTATATTATGTGTAGTAAAATTAATTTGTTGTTTTGGATCTTTGATCTCAGGTAGTTGTTGTTGAATTAGAGTAGGAAAATCAGTGAGATTTGTAGAGTTTGATGTTGTAGGTATGTTACTCATAAGATATTATTTTTAGGTTCTGTTTCCATATTAAGAGATTAATATTAAAGTAGTTCAAAGATATCCTATTTTGGAGATAGTAAGTTAGGTAATTCAAGTAAGAAATTTGGTAAATTTGTAAATTCAAAGTGTTGTTAAAGGAAGGTGAAAATTTGTAGCATATTATTATATTGTTTTACTAGTAGAGAAATTGTTTTATTGGCTACTGCTATTAAATAATAGTATTTAGTTCTACTAATGTATTTAGAAGTTAGTTAGTTGATATAGTATTTTGTGATATTGGAATATTTATTTATGAATCTAGAATTCGATGAAAGAAGTAGTACTCTCTAAGAGCTTTTATAGCAATAGAAAGTTCTTTAGGTATAGTTATTGAGAGAGTGAGATTTACTTCTATGATATCATTTGAGGCAATTAGAAGATCTGGAAGATCAGTATAGTTAATAATATAGTATGCAGAAGGAAGAGGAAATGGTATTCAGTAAATAGATAGTATTTCTTCAATGAATTGTTATGCAGTTACTTTGTCTTCAATAGGAAATAATATTTGAGTTTTTAGTTGTAATTTGAGAGAATCAGTTAGAAGAGGTCTTTTTGTAATCAAATAATTATTTAGAAGTTTAGCAAATATATATTCTGATCATAGAATTCTGACATGATTAATAAAATCCTCTCAGTTTTTTAGAATTTTGCTTTAAAGCATAGAGCGAGAAGTTGAGGAATAACTAGTAGAGGTAGTAGTCACTCAGGCAGATCAAAAAAATAAGATAGTATTCTATTATATAGATAGTATTTTTGAAGAGCTTACTTATAATTTAAGAGTTGTTTTAAGTCTGCATGACTATAGATTGGAAAAAGATCTTTAATTTCTAGATATAGATTTTTAATTTTTTCTAATAAAAGTAGATGATTATCTCTGAAGTATGTTTTTGGAAGTGTTTTAAATGTAAAAACTTTGCATAAAACTCTTACAACTCGATAGTATCATAGCAGTTCATTAAAGGTAATTCAAAACTTTAAGTATCATTAATATAAAAAAGTATATCTTTAGGATCATCAAGAAGTGGTAGTAAGTTATTGATAATGCATTTAGAGATTATTTGTTAGACATCATCAAATTTGAAAGGAATTGTGGTTTTAGTAAAGCTAGCTAAGTAGAAGATCGAACGAGCTATTTCATATGAATCTTTTAGGTTAAAATCTATGTTTAAGAGATAATCTATTTTAATTTTCTTGCAAAGTATTAAGAAAATCTCATCCCAGTTCATTTTGTTAATGATTATTATATCATATAGTTGTTTATATTGTTCAATTGCTACAATAAGTAGGTCATTAAACTTTTATTAATATTGAGATTGAGTTTGAGCAGAACAGGTAAAAGTACAGAAAAATTGAATATCGTAGTGATTTAATTTAGCTAAAATAGCTTCAGAGATAAAGTAATTAGTAGGTAGATACTTTAATTTATACTTGGTAAATTCTTCAAGAGCAGAGAGAAAAGTGAATATTTCAATATATTTGTTTTAGTTCCAAAGAGAAATATCTATAGGTTAGTATTTTTCTAGCTTTTGGTCTTTTAAAGCTAAGGTTATTTTATCTGTCTATTCCTTTTCTTTATAGTCTGCTTGTAGGTTGTTGTTGTTGTTCTTTTTTGTTAAGTTTTGTTGAGGTGTTCTTTTGCTTGTTAAGGCTTAACTATTGGTAAGTGTAAGAGTACTTGAACTTGTAGTTGGAGTAGATTCTATATCTCTTATATGTACATCAACTTCTATATTTATAAGATCTGAATTGAGTATTGTTACTGAGGACTCAGGTATTGGTTCTGAGTTATTAGAGTCAGATTCTAAATGAAGATCAGTTCTGGGTTCTTTGTTTTGTTAGTCAGGAGTCATAGGAATATTTGTTGTATGTAATGTCATAAGAATATTTATTGTAGTTGATGTCATGGAAATATCTATAATATGTGCTGTCATATATTGTTTTGTCAGAGTAAAACCAGATTCTCTACTTTTTTGTAAAATTTTTTTAGAATTTTCAGAATTAATTATAGAGGTGTGAATAGTATATGGAGCAAGTCTTTTTTTGTTGTTGTTATAGTCTTTTTTGTTTTTTTTTTTCAGATGTTTATCTGTGAGTGGAGTATCTGTAATAGTAGAGGCAATAGAGCTTTCTGTTAGTTTAATAGTATTATTATTTGAGAATATTACTGACATAGTTAGCAATATAAGTTTATTAAAAGATATAGGAGTAAAAAAAGTGAGATCTCTATTTTTTTTAATTGTATTTTAGTATATCCAAGAAGAGATTAGAATTTGTTATTAATATTTAGTTATTTAGTATAAAGTAGTTGTATATAAGTCTATTTTGTTTTTTCTTTCTTCAGATTTTGTTGTTTTGATGATTATCAGAAAGAGTTTTTTCCTGTTTGAAATTAGTATCAGATTAGAAATATTAATATGCTAATAGATAATCATATTATACTAGTATAAATTTATTTGACTAGTGATATATATATTAAGATTTCTTTTTGTTATCAAGAATTCAATATTAGCTAACATTAGCTTAGTTAATATTTAGTATATAATACCAAATTTATTAGCAAAAAAATCTAAAAAATATTTTTCATACTCTAAACTTATTATAATAATACTGATAATACTAGTTGATTTTAGTATATAGCATTTATAACCTACAGATATCTACTATATTTAAAATATATATTTTACTATGCTTCAATAATTATATTTTTTGTCTTAATAATTACAATTTGATAAATTTTTTTTTATTTAAATTCTACGTATTCATAGAATTTAAATAAAAAAAAATTCATCAAATTTGATCAGGTGGTTATCAAAATATCTTCAGTCAAAGTTTTAAAAAATTTTAGAATAGCTATTTTAATAGACATTTTGATTTTTTTTTAACTTTGAGTAAAGATACTCGATAACCACCTGATCAATTTTGATAAATTTTTTTTTATTTGAATTCTATGAATTCATACAATTGAAATAAAAAAAAGTTCATCAAAATTAATCAGGTGGTCATCGAGATATCTTTACTTGAATTTTTAAAAAATTTTATTTTTTGCTGAAGAGTACAAATACCAAATTTGGGAGGTACAAATACTAGCCTCCTAAAGATATTGATAAAATCTGAAATATTATATCTAGCAGCATTATTAGCAGTATATACATAACACTCCCAAGTAAAAAGATCACTATTAGCAATACCCCTATAAGAAAAACAAATGAAAGTAATAAAATCTTTAAGGATTTGAAATATCTTAGAAAAATCTGCTATAGATACTCAAGTAAAACAGGATGCTCAATAATAGAAAAAGAATATCAGCAGACTAATGAAATGCTTACTGACTTGAACAACAAGTATAGCTTTCAAATAGCAAAGTTGACAGAAGGGCTCTGGTCAGACAAATTAACAAAAGATTTCAAGAGTTAGTAGAAGTTGCTTAACTTCAAAGTTCAGCAAGAGAGAAGAAGAGAAGAAACAAATGAAATCAATAAGCATATAGAGCATCACTGCAAAGCAATGCAAGGAGAGCTTAAACCTATACTTAATAGCTTGTTAGAAAGAATATCTAAAAGAATAAAAATTAATAGGGTTATGAAGACAGTTGGTAAAGAAAAAATCCTACTAATAGAAGAAAAAAAGGTCCTAAATGAAATAAGAGCATATTTTATGAAGCAATTCAAAGAAAGGAATATTAATCAGAATAGTCTTGCTGAGAGATGAGTTAGTGCATACAGTCCTATTAAGAGTATAGATAGCAGTATTTACAAAAATTTAGCAGATAAAATAACAAAAAAAAAATAGTATAACATACTTAGCAGAGCAAAGAATAAGTTTATATCTGGTATATCAGGAATTAGCTACCTACTAATTTGAAAGACAGAGCAAAAAGTACAAAAAGTATTCAGATTACTAGCAGACCTATGCATTACCAAAGGTAATATACCTAAAAAATAGAAAGTAGGCCAACTGTATCCAATTCCAAAAAGCGAAGACTAGAATTATAACCTAGTAAATGTGAGACTAATTGTCTTATTAGAAGCATTTCATAGGACAGTAGTAAGAGTTATTACTCAAAGACTAGACAGAATACTAGTTAAACATAAAGTACTAGAAGGCTCAAATTATACAAGTTTGCCAGGTAACAGTACCTCAAGTCCTATCTACATCATAAATAATCTGATAGAAGATATAAAACAAAAAGACAAAAGTGTGGATTTTATTTTAAAACATAGAAAAAGCTTTTGACTCTGTAAGCTTAGAGATGATAAAAAAAGCTTTAAAAAGAATTAAAATTCCTGAGATGATAACAAAATTCCTTATTAATCTGTATAATAAGAAGAAGATTAAGGTTATCATAAAGTATAGCCTTACTAAGAAATTTGAGACAGGAGATAGACTTGACCAAGAGAAAGTTATTTTATCTCTTATGTGATGTATATTCTATGATCTGCTACTTTGCATAGTCTGCAAAGAAAAGGATTTAGGATATAAAATAGATCTAAGCTGGTCTTGTGACCTAATAACAAACAAAACTAGGCTATCAAACTAGTAACAAGGAGTACTGGTATATGCAAATAATACAACTTAGCTAGCAAGAAATACAGAAAATAGTTAATATTTCTTCTGAATTCTATAAGTTGAATGATATTGAAATCAATAGCAAAAAATTAGAGCTATTGGTTTTGAATAGTAGTCACTCTAATAGAAATAAGAATAGTCCTCTAGAAATAATAATAGGAAAGTTTAAGGAGCTAGTATAAGCAAAATGAGGAAAAGAAGTTTTAAGACATTTAGGTATATAGATATCTGATTAGGGAGAGTGTTAGTTTTCTTTTTGAGACTTCTTTATTTTGGTCTAATTTTCTGAATCTGATATCATTAAAATTTCTCATAACTATTACTCGAGTTTTGTTTCTTTTATATTCTCTGATTTTTTATATCACATATTGTTGTATTTTCTTCTTTTCTTCTTTGTTACTTAATGAAATATAAATGTTAATAACTACTAACTTAATTTTTTTGAATAGTCGCAATGTACTAATATAGTAGTTTCTAAATCTATTAATTTGTCTGATATGCTTTTTCCAATTTGCTTTAATAACTAATCTGACTTCTGATCCTTTGAGCTTATCATCATTTGCTTTGGCCAAAATCCTATATAATCACTGCCTCTAGGAATCAGAAATTTTCCTTGTCGCTCAGAAATATTTGTTTCACTTTTCTTATAATATCTATGCTTTCTTCTCTCATCTGTTTTAAGAGTATATCTAACTTATAACTGTTTACTTTAAGACCATTAATATTGTGTGTACCTAATTTTAATATGCTGAAATCTCTTATTACATTCTCTTTAGTTTGTTTATTCTTTGTTTAGCCTTCTTCTGATCATCAAGTTTTCCTTCTTAGAGACCTAAGGTATTCTGTAATTCGACTAGTATACCTTTTTAGAAGTGATTAGGAGCTTTGAAGCTTCTATATTTGCTTTTAGCTTTAAGTGCATATTCTTTTTTCTTTGCAGGTACTAGCAAACTTTTTAGAACTTTGCTCATACTTATACTGCTTCTGTCTTTTCTCTGTAACTTTGTTTAGCTATCTATATGATACCCTCTTTTAGTTCTGTTTTTGTAGTCACTTCTACTATTGTACTACTTATTTCAGAGCAGATTGAGCTTTCGTAATCTAAATCAGCAGTTAGTCTTTTTGATGATTTCTTTTTCTAACTATTTCTATAGCTATTTAGCACTAGTTGTTCTTCTTGTTTTGAATCTTCCTTTTCTTTATTCCAAGTATCTTTAAATATGTGCTTCAAGCATCCTTCACTTGGGTCTTGTTTAGCTTTTTTCATTTTTTCTAGACTTATAGAGCTTTGTTCTTGTAATACTCTAGATATTTTAGTAGACTCTGTATGTGTCTCATTATCTATATGTTTGTTAGCTCTTATTGTAGCCTACTTAAATTTGTTATTATAATAATGAACTGTAAATTTTGAGCTATTTAAGCAATCTGCTTTACTTGAGAAGAATACTGTTGCACTTCTCTTGTTGTTGCTATTAGTATTCTTAAAAATATGTAAAGCTTTAGCTCCTGTATATCTTACTTGTCTTCACAAGAATACTTTATTTGTATCTTCTAGTAAGTCAAAAAATTTTCTAAAGTATTTACTTCTTGATTTGAGTACTTCTATATTATTTCTTCCTGGCATAACTCTAGCTAAGCAGCTACTTAGAAGTGGGATACACCAGATATCTTCTAGGTCTTTCATGTATATAGTATTTGGAATAAAGTTTATCTCAGCACGTATCTTTTCATATGCTTCTTTAATGATTTGAATATGATTGACTCTGTCAAAGTATCATACTAATTCAAAGATATGTACTCTTTTTATTTAGTTTGGCAAGTTCTAAATTGTTATGGTACTTAATTTCAAGAGATTTCTTTTTACTGTTCTATATATTTTCTTTAATTAGCTCTTTTTCTTTTCATCAGAGCTCAGTTCGTGTTTAGATTCTTAAGTAGGGCTTTTTTCTTTAAGCTTAGCTGAATTGGTTTTATTTATATTAACAAGAATATAATTGATTTCTTTCTGAGTAATATACTTATTAAAAAGTACTTTGTACTATTCGATCTCTTTCTTTCTAAGTTTCTTTTTCAGAATTTCTATATCTTTAAGACAGTCAAATTTGATAACTACTCAACTATTTCCATTTTTAAAACACTCTACAATTTTACTTATATAGTTACTTTTGTATAGTATTCCTTTTACAAACTTAATATGTTCTTCTTTTGTTTTATCTGGTAATAAGATAGAAGCAATTTTTGCTTTGTAATCCCCTGTTCTTTCACAAGAGTCTTCATTAGATGCCTATATACTATCTTCTAGAGAGGTTCTTTATAGTTTGCAACTACATGATCTATTTGCTTTTTCTAAAATTCTTTTGGATCATTAATTTCTATTTGTGAAGTTCTAAGTTAAGCATCTTCTGTATCTTCTAGTATTAGGTCTTTAGTCTTTTGTACTAGATCTACTAGCTCTTTCTCTGTAGTCACTATACTAGTTATACTATTTTCTAGACAAGGTACTAATAAGTTTTCAGAACTGCTTTGTTCTTACTCTCTCAAAGCTTATTGTATATCTTCTGACTGCTCATTCAAAAACAAGATTTTAACTACTGTTTTGTTACTATTTGTAAGCTTTCTTTTTAGATACTCTACTTTTTGGGTGACTATTGCCTCTGTATTGCATTCTAGATTCTTTGTTTTAGAAGGCATAGTTACAACTGTATAAGTACTTGCTGACTGTACTTCAAGCTCACTCATTGGTATTATATTATTTTCTTGTTTATTGTATTTGTTATTCTAGTTTGCTTTGTTAACTGAGTTAAAACTATTTTTCAGTTGTACTAAACTTTTTTTAGCTTCTTCTGCTAATACTAGCTCTTGCTCTAGCTCATTAAGAGTATAATCTAATACCTCTTTGCTTTCTTCTATAATAATTTTCTTTATGCTTCTACGCTAATTTCTAGTCACTGTAATAATTTTAATACTTATCTCTATAATTCTTGATATATATTCATCTATTTGTTCATGGCATCCTTTTATTTTTTCTAGTATGCTTATTAGTTTTTAGAGATCTTCTTCTTTAAGTAATACTTTGAGGCTTGCTATCTTTTTAGAGCTTAGTAGATATCCTTCCTTTAGATAACTTATTTGATTACTCTCCTTATTCTCGTTTCTTGCATCTAAGCTTGTTATACTCATATTTGAAATGACTTTGACTTTTTTTCAAAAAACTCTGAATTTCTTTCTAATTGCCTATGTTCTGTCTATTTTTTGACTTGTATACTTCTATTCAATTAGCTACCACATGACATGTCTGTTTAGTAGTTTGTGTATATAAAGTTTGTTTACCTTGTTTTGTAACTTTTGTATTATATATAGTAATCTGCAATACAGAGTGAATGTGATTCTCTACTTTTTTTAAAAATTCCATTCAAGTTTTCTCTAAACATTTTTCCTTTACTATGTGCTTTCTGAAGTTTCTGAATTTTCTACTCTACTATGTATCTTTCTATAAGTTCTTTCTGTTTCTTTAGTAGCTCTTAAGTTGTTTCAGTTGTAGTTTTTTGAGAATATATATTTTTGCTTTAGCACAAAAGTAGGCAAAATGATCTATAAGAAGAGTTGTGAATAATTGTTTTTGAAAACTAATACACTATTACTATGCAAAAGATATAAATACAAAATATCTTTCTTCTTTTAATCTACTCTATAATTCAATTAAAAAACTTAATAATCCACTTTTAATTCAAATAGACTACAAAGAAATTCTTGCACTAATTCACATATTTACAACTACTCAATCTTATTCTCTACTTCAATTAATACTACATATTAATCTTGCTTTATCTGAAGTTCAAACTATACAACAAACTACTAACTCAACTCTTTACCAAAACTAATTAACTAATTTTTATTTTCTTATTCAAAACTTATATCTTAATAATTTAGAATTTTATATAGATGCTTTAATTAAAAATTTATAAACACCAGATATCAAAGCTGAAGTAGGATAGACCTATAGAAATAATCTTTCTATTAAGTTCAATGTAGCTGTCTTTTCTTATTCAGACACTACTCAAATTGAACTAGCTTCAATTATTACTTTACTTCTTACTATACCAAATAATTCTACAATTACTATATATTTTGATAATATTATTGCAATTAAATATTTAATATCCTTTTCCTCTCACAAACTGTTATACACCCCTAACTCGCGCATAACTATCATAACCAACCAATTAACGTATTATGTCCGTAAAGATCCGCTCATTCGCCTTCGTTGCCACTAGTTTTTGAAAAAACTCTGCTTTGAAAAATTAAAAATGACTTTAGTTATAAATCCATTTGAATCTAAAAAAAGAGTCTTCATTACCAGATCCAATTTGCTTG